GGATCATATACGGTAAAACTATGTTAGTTTGTTAGAAACTGGCCAAACTTTTCCAAAGTGATTGTACTGTTTTACATTCCCCCCAATAATGAATGAGAGTTCCTGTTGCTTTCGATTTGCATTAGCAATTTATGTTGTCAGTGTTTTGAATTTTTACATTCTAATAAGTGTTTAGTGGAGTCTTGTTATTTTAATTTGCAATTCCCTAATAACATACAGTGTTGGATATGTTTTCATAAGATTACTTGCCATCTGTATATCTTGATTGGTGGGGTGTCCAATAAGGTCTTTTGCCCATTTTTAAATTGGATTTTTATTTTTTTATTGTTGAGTTTTAAGAGTTCTTTGTTGATTTTGGATGATAGTCTTCTATCAAATGTAGGTTTTGCAAATATTCTGTCTTGACAACTGACTTGTCTTCTCGGTATTTTGACTTTATCCTGACAGAGCACAAGATCTTTATTGTATTTAAGTCTATCTTAACATACAGTTTTGAGATGGATGTCAGCTTTCATAATATCAGAAAACAATTTCTTATGATAAACAAGTCTTCCCAAGTGCACACACACACACACACACACACACACACACACACACACACACACACCAGTCTTGCAATGCTTATGCTTAACAACAGAGATCTGTTCCGAGAGATGTGTCCTTATGGAGTGTACTTACACACACCTAGATGGTAGAGCCTACTACACACCTAGGCTGAATGGTATGGCCTATTGTTCCCAGGCTACAAATCTGTACAGCATGTTGTCACAGTGAATACTGCAAGCAATTGTAACACAATGGTTAGGATTTGTATATCAAAACATACCTAAACATTAAAAGGGTACCATTAAAATATGGGATTATTATCATTTTCTTATTTTTTATTTTTTTTTTAGTTGGAGTCTCACTCTGTCGCCCAGGTTGGAGTGCTGTGGCACACTCATGGCCCCTCCAGCGTCAACCTGCTGGGCTCCGGTGATCCTTCCATCTCAGCCTTCCAAGCAGCCAGAACCATAGGCACGCACTACCATGCCCAGCTAATTTTTATAGAGACGAGGTCTTGCCGAGTTGCCCGGACTGGTCTCGCACCTGCGGGCTCAGGCAGTCCACTCACCTTGTCCTCCCAAAGTGCTGGGATGACAGGTTGAGCCACCGAGTCTGGCCAAGATATGGTATTATAATCTTTTTTTTTTTTTTTTGAGTTGGAGTCTCACTCTGTCACCCAGACCAGAGTGCAGTAGCCGCTCCTGGCCACCGCAGCCTCGACCTGCTGGGCTCCGGCGATCCTTCCGCCTCAGCCTTCCAAGTAGCTGGAACTACAGGCGCGCTACCATGCCCGGCTAATTTTTTGATTTATTACAGAGATGAGGTCTCGCCAAGTGGCCCAGGCGGGTCTCGAACGGTATTATAATCTTAAGGGACCACTGTCATGAATCTCTTGTTGAATGAAGCGTTATTATATGATACATGACTGTACACACACACACACACACACACACATCCTGTTGGTTCTGTTTCCTAGCAAACCCTGACCAATACAGTGTTCTAGGAAGGCTTCCCGGAAGAAACGCTATCTCACCTGAGTCTTGACAGATAGGCAAGAGGTAGTCAAACAGCACGAAAGGGACACAAAGGCCCCCGGAACACTTCAAGGTCTAGATCAGAGCTAGAGTGAACCTTGCAAGCCATGCCAAGGAGCTTTTGTGCTGTAGGCCAGTGTTTCCATGCCAATCTACCAGACATCAGCGTGTAAGAGGTGCCTCACACAAGATACACAGGAGCAAACACTAGATTAAAGTCAAATAGGTCTGCAATTCCCAGATGAAAGAAACCTAGCAGGTTTTTTTTTTAATGCAGGACTTCCCAGAGCCTTTAAAGAGCCAGTATGCACTGTACGTCTTCAGGAGGAGATAATAGTATTTTAACATGGGCTCTCTGTACAATTCTAGCACACAGCAGAATGTACAAAGAAGTGAAAGGACAGAGCCCAGGATGGAATTTCTGTGGTCTCCTTGAGCTCATACATGACAATAATCCTTTCCTGGAACCCTGGGCGCGAGAGTCACAGGACACTGAGATTAACATCTCCCAAGAATTTGTCTTTCAGCTACCCGCCCAGCCCTCCTCGTCTATGTGATTAACCACACGTAACTGACCCACCCATCCAGCTATCTGCCCACCCTTGTCTACGAGCTCAGGACTGACCCACCCATCCACCAGACCCCATCACCATGACATCAGCATCTGTGAATGCAGGCCTGCCCCCAAAAGGAAGCTTTAAAAGCCTTCAACCTCGAGCATTCACCGCCACAATTCCTTCAAGCCTCTGGCTCCTTCTCTCCCTTGAGAAGTGAATCTACTCTTTTCTAATCTACTTTCTGAATAAACTATTTTGCCTAATCTGTGCGCAAATCGTTGCATACCCCTGGCATGGGCTCCGCCCACTGAACTGACACACAGAGAGCTGCTAGGAGATTGAAAGTCATCGAAGGGGTTTAAGTGTGAGACTGGCGTGGTTGGTTCCTTGTTTCTGGTGGACAGATTTGCCCCAAGCATAGACACCCAGCAAAGGCTCAGTTCAGAGGCAAGAGATGCTGCTGAGGCCCCGCCCAGAGGCCCTTGGGTCCCTTTGGCGCCTAGTACTGTTCTGTGTGGACAGCCCTTGGCTACCGGAGCTGCTTGGCTCCTCGTCCTGGGATGTCCTTAGCAGCGGCCGAGGTTGTGGGGTGTGAAGCTTAGCTCTCTTCCTCAAGTCGGGACAAATGGGGGTAATCTCTGCTCAGGAGCACTGCGCAGGTCAGGTGTGGTGGCTCATGCCTACAATCTCAGCAGTTTGGGAGGCCAAGGCGAGAAGATTGCCTGAGTCCAGGGGTTCGAGACCAGCCTGGGCAACATGGCGAGACCTCGTCTCTACAAGACATCAAAAAATTAGCCAGGCGTGGTGGCATACGTCTGTGGTTTCAGCTACTTGGAAGGCGGGGGCAGAAAGATCGCTTGAGCCCAGCAGGTTGAGGCTGTGATGGCTATGAGCATGCCACTGCACTCAAGCCTAGGCGACAGAGTGAGACTCCTACTCAAAAAAAAAAAAAAAAGTACCGTGTAGGATCAGGCTGAGACGCAACCTAAACCACACCTGACTGAGTTTCCTTCCTTCCCGTCCCGTCTCTGCTTCCCCAATGAAGGCACTGTCTCAGTGAAGCTCAGATACTGCTTCTGGGACACCTGGCCTGCTACAGGATGCAAGTTATGAAGGCGGGCGGGAGGAGGAGTGGAAGGAGAGTGTCAGTTTCAAGACTTTTTCAAGATGTAAAACCAGTAGAAACAAAGATGGATAACTGGGCATTAGGGATGAGCCCAAGATAATTCCATCTTTCGGGCTTGGATCATCAAAAGGTGCCATCATCAGGGAAATAGGAAGCAAAAAACAAGTCTGTGGTGGAGAATAAACTCAGTTTCGTCTTACTGACCCAGAAGCAGTTTGGGGACAGCCGTCCCAATAGAAAAGTATTCCAGATCTGTACAAACGTGAGATTCGGGGAGAAGGTCAGAGCTGGGGGTCTGCACGCCAGGCCATGAACCGATGGTAAGTAAAAACCCAGAAGAGCCAAAAAGCAAATAAATAAACCGGGAGGGTGAGGGAGATCA